TATGAGTTTTCTATGAGCTTAAACCTAGAATGAGTGTAGAAAGAACCTTCCTTCTATGCCCACTCTTCTTTCTGTGCCCACTTGAACCTCCAATTTTATAAGATTCAGCACATAGGACAGCACTATCACCCCACCCCAGCCCGTGACTGTTGGGTAAGGAAATCGACAAATGGTAACACCAACTGACTCAAGGATGGGCACAAACAGAGAAAAGAGGCAGTGTGCCAGGGCCACTGTCTATAAAGCCTGCCAGTGAAGAGCCTTGACAGGATGAGACCATTAGTCTCATGGTCCAGAATAGGTGTTCAAGTCTTCACTCTGCCACTCACCAACTCTGTATCTTCAGTGAACTACCTGGCTTCCCTCAGCCTCAGTTTCCTAATTTGTAGGAAAGCAAGTACACCTGCCCCAGCAGTAGCTCTTGCAAAGATTTCATAAGATGTATAAAGTGCCTGTTACACAATTGTTCCATTAATCATGCTTTTTGTAGTCTTATTGTTGAAGTAAGCTGAACTGGACAGGCAGGCTGGAGAACAGAATGTCTTTTCCTAACAAGTAACACAAAAGACTTGCCACCTACATCAAGCCTAGGTCTCTTTGGCCTTGGTGATGTGTAGAGCAGGCCAGTTCCCTGCCATCTCTGCCTTCTGCTCAGGGGTTTCTTCACTGGTCTCTAGGCATTTCTCCCCATCCTTAAGAACCACCTGAGTATATCTCAGTCTGTGTTTCCTTTTATGGTTCCCACCTGCTGGGGAAAGGAATCCGCCGTGTTGCTTTTTCACTTGCCCTTAAACAAATGTAGTCTGCCCTTCCCCTTTCCCTGGAATACTTTTCCCTGAGCAATACTATCCCACAGTACCAAAGAGGCCTTCCCACCTCTCCAACTTCATTATTTTAGAGGAACATTTGGAGCAAATGAGTGCAGTGTAAATTTACTTGCTGCTCCTCCATCCAACCCCAACTTCAACATTATGGTCCTAATGTGTCTCTTGTCATTAACTTAAAAGTTCTATCTCTCCTGTAAAATAATAAGATTCTTTAATTTCTGATCTTTAGTACCCCCTCCAATCTCATAACCTCCTCATCATTTGTGCACTTCCCCTTAGAACATCTGGTTGAATTCTACTTCATTTGTGACCTGCAAGCATCAATACACAAGACACCTTCCCACATACAGGAGACATGAGGCCCAAGGGAATGAGTTAGTCCAAGGCTTGCAGCACTGACCACTAGCCAGTTACCTGCATTTACAAGATTCAGGCAATGATTTTTATATATACCCGGGCCCTTCTCTAAGCTTTCTGCTAAAGTAGCTTTCTTGTCTACCCTTCTCTAGCTTTAGAGACAGCAAGGTACAGTGAGAAAACACTGGACTGGCAGTCAATATCTGACTTCAATCCCTGCTCTGAAATATGCTAGGTATAGGACTATCTAAGTCTATCCATTACTTTCTACATATTGTGGATCAAGAAGACATGGTGAGGAGAAGAAGTAGGGAAGAATGTATCCATGGGGCTTAGAGGATGGTGGAACTGGGAAGAGAGTTTAATTCCCAGTCTGTAGTTATGACAGGACAACTGGTCACTCCTAATGCAGATTCCTACTGAAATAGATATGGAACAAAGCACAATAGAATACCACAATCTGACTAATTTATAAAGAACAGAAACTTATTATTCAAAGTTCTGCAGGCTGGCAGACCAAGATCAAGGCACCAATATTTGGTGTCTGGTAAGGACTGCACCCTCAGATGATCAAATGTGGAAGGGCAAAATGGGACAGACTCCCTCTGACAACCCCCTTTATAAGGGTAACTAATTCCATTCACAATGGAGGAGTCTTCATACCCTAGTCACCTCTTAAAGGCCCCATTTCTTAATACTTTTACACTGGCAAAACATGAATCTTAGAGGGACTATGTTCAATAAAACCATGGCAGTGACTTTGGGCAAGAGGCAGAAGTTCACTGAATCTCATTTCCTATGTATTTTAAGAAAGAGAGGTTTAGGTATGAGTACTTCTAAGGCTCAGAATCTGTGGCCAAGACCACAGGTCTACCAATGTTTGAAACAGTAATCATAGAATTCTCCATTTCGGTACCAGCAGTTAGTGTAATGGCTATGTCATTGGACTCCCATGTAGTCAACCGCAGTTCGAGTCCCAGACCTAGAGGCTTAAACTCATGCCAGGCATGTGTGCATGTGTGCCCAAGATCCCAAGAGGAGAATGGAAGAGAAGGGATTGCAGTGTGGCCTTCCCCCCTGGAGGGTGATTTCTTGCTTTCTGACTCTCTGTCTCTCTCTGTCTTTCTGGTGAGCACACACATCCTATAGCAAAAACCTCTCCAAAAAAAGGAAAAAAAGAATTCTCCATTTCTACCCTACCTTGTTTCCTGGTCATTTATCCATAAGTGGTGTCCATAGATGGGTGCTATAAACAATATGACAAACACAGCATCCAGAAGGCCATTTCCTTCTCTGCTTACTTCTTTTGCTATATACACTGTGGCTTCCTTTTTATTCATCTAGCAAATATTTATTAAGTCGCCTACTATGTGTCAAGCACCCTCTTAAGGTACCAGGGATGTAAGCAGTGAAGAAAACAAATATAGTCCTTTCCTCAAGACAATATCTTTTAGTGGGAGGACAGCCAATTATCAAGCATACAAATAAAACAACACAAGTTGTGATAAGGGTCGTAAAGCAATAGGAAACAAAAAAGTGATAGGCATGTTTCAGTCTGTTCTATGTCGCTTAGTAACTGAATACCCCAGACTTGGTAACTCAGAAAAAAATAAAGATTTATTCAGATCATAGCTTTGGAGCTCTAAGGTCATGAGGCTGCATTTGGTAAAGGTCTTATTTTTGGTGGGGGCTCTCTGCAGAATCCCAAGGCAGTACAGAGCATCAGAGGGCAAGAGAGTGACCGTTGGTGTCTATGTCCTTGTCTAGGCCCTGGTCTCTCTCCCTCTCTTTATAAACCCACATATATTCCATTTGGGGGGCATCCTTGATGATTTTATTTGATCCTAATTACCTTCCAAAGGCTCCATCTCTTAACCTCATAGGCTGATTAAGTTTCTACCTTCTTAATACTGTCACAACTACATTTCAAAACATGAATATTTGGGGGACACATTCATACCACAGTATGACACAGACTTATGGGAGGAGGGTCACGAAAACCATCCCAAGGAAAAAAAGTGTGTGCTTATCTCCAAAGGATAGGGAAGGATCAACCTTGAACATATCTAGAGGACAAGCATTCTATGTGGAAGGAACACCATGGGCAAAGTCTTTGAGATAGGAACAGATTTTTCTATGCTTGGCAATGTTCCTCAAGAAAGGACTCATTTAGCTGAAGATCTTCATGAGCTAGAGGAAAAAAGGTCCATAGAAGAAGACAGAGGCCAAAGGAAATCAGCCTTTGTATGATACAGCAAGGGATAGAGGGTGTATTCTGAGTACAAGGAGAAGTTCCATGAGGATTCTGACCCTCTGAACATGGGCCATGTTAGAGCCAACACTGTTTGGAAAATTAAGTATGACATGTGAAGGAAAGAGAAGATTCAAGAAGGACGACTAAGTTTTTTACCTGAACAACCAGATGAAACAGGGGAGCTCTAGAGATTACCCATGTTTTTTCTCCCCTAATAATGCGTACCAACACACTCCACATGCCCATTTCATCCTTTCTGTTCTGCTCACACACACAAAGAGAGACAAAGAACTATAGCCTTTCTCTTATGGTGTCTGGCTCCCTGCCTCTCTGGACTATTTCCTTTCTAGGCGATCATACTAAGTTCTAACAAAGCACTCATTTGTCTAAGGATTATATTTTAAAAGTCCAAATCAATCATTTTAATTTATAAGAACAATGAGCACTGGGGACAAGATTTTATACCTGAGTGGGATAATAGCACCATCTTAAAATCCTCCCAGGATGCTCTTACTACATAAAGCACTGATGGACTCTCAAGACATCAGCAGGGAGAGGGAATTCACATCCCCTGCCTGCACAACCTTAGTCTCACACATAGTTTAGGTATAAGAAGACTTTGAAGGTCCAGTTCTCCAGCTAGTAATTTATGTAGACCCCAGGCATGGACAGAGATGTTGCTCAGCCACTATCAAAAGAGTTTCTTCTTCAGCCTTTATCTCCAAGCCCGTTAGCAGAATCAGAGTGGAGGAATGTGGTCTGAGAGAATTCACTCAAAAGTACACATCCTTAGTTGGTTGGGTTGCACAGTGGTCTTGTGCTGCTGGATCCATATTAAAGATCATAGGTTGGGTTTCTTGGTCAACCTGAGCACACCAGGTGCACATGCTCATGATTCGGCTAGCTAGGAAAGCTGTGGATGGAGAGAGGGGTAGAGACTATAGTGTGAGACCTTGTTGAGGGTGCATGGCTTTCTCTCTACACCCCCTTTTCTGTCTCACTCTTAAAAATGAATAAATAGGGACCAGCAGTTAGCGTAATGGCTATGTCGCTGGACTCCCATGTAGTCAACCGTGGTTCGAGTCCCAGACCCGGTGGCTTAAACTCACGCCGGGCGCGTGTACGTAAGTGCCCAAGATCCAGAGAGGAGAATGGAGGAGAAGAGATTGCGGCATGGCCACTCCCCCCCGGGGGGTGATTTCTTGCTTTTTGTCTCTCTGTCTCTCTCTGTCTGGCGAGTGCACGCGCCCTATAGCAAAAAAAATAAGAATAAACACACACACACACACACACACACACACACACACACACACACACACACACAGAGTCAACCACAGCATCCCACAAGGTCCTTCATACCCGCACAGGGCTTAATATTCACAAAGCACTTTCAACCTTTTATCATTGATTTGAGGCTCAGCACAGCTGTGTGATTCAGGAAGGAAACTGAGCTTCAGAGGCCAGAGGAAATGCCTGAGGTTCCCTCCCTTCTTGGAGGTATAAGCAGAACAATCGCTTCCCTCTAACTGTGGAGACCTGTTTGCTGGTGTCCTCACTCTTACCTGTGGCAGCTGTTCCACTAAACTTTTTGCTTCCCAACCTCTCTGAGACTCCTTCCTCTTGAGGTCACCTGCATCTAAGAGAGATAGAGCAAATGAATTAACACCGGCCATAGTGAGAAGTACAAGGTTAGACTTTCCCTTGAGGGAATGGAGCATGTTGAATGGCAGTGTCCCATACTGGAGTAGAAGAGAGAAAGCTAAGGTGGTGGAGGGTAGGGTGAAGAGAGATGCTCAGCTTCTCAATATTCTATGGCCCTAGGGAAGATTTGTGCACCCAGCCTGGGGAGGAGGACTATATGTGGTCCTGCTGATCACTTACACCTTAGGGAAAAGAAGAGTTGAAAGAAGGGGTCCATACAGGAATCAACAGATGAGATGGGAGACGGGAGAGAAAAGAAAGGAACATGTAAGGAGCAAAAGGCACATAAAATGAAAATTAAGGAGGGAAACTCGCCCTTGCATGACTGCAGTTTTGCACAAAACTGGCCCCTCAAGGGACAGCAATGACTTGGCATCAGCCCTACCTCTTGGCCACCATCCCAGCCTGGGGAAGAGTGTCACTCAGTGCCCTCTCCCCAGGCTCCTACCTCTGACTCTTTCTTGATTATCACAGATTTGATGTCACATTCTCCAGGGAGTCTTCCCTGCTCCCAACCCCACCAAAGGGTCTGTGTTGCCACTGTGTTCTACAACCCTCATGAGGACACCAAAGAGCAACCATGTCCTCTCTGGTCTACAGACTACACTTGAGTGCCCAAGTGGTCAGAGAGCATAGGGTTGAGGAGAATGAACATTAGCCTCTATCCTTATTCAGTGGAAGGTCTTCCTGCTGCAAAATGCACAAATAGCCACTCAGTGGATGCTGCCAAGTTTTCCTTCCACAGGGAGCAAAACTGCTCTCCACCCCACGACTGTCTAGATAGTGCTTAAGCCACAAATCCTGGGACCCATTCAGAAGGTAAGTTAAGACCTCTGTTCTGCCTGGATCTGTGCCAGGGTGCAGAATGTGCTCTATAGTGTGGTCTTGTCCTACGTATGGCATTGTAGAAGAGGCACAGATGTCAAGAGATGGGTTCACACTCCACCACTTATCAGATGTCCTGGGAAAATAAGATCAGCCTTGGAATCAAATGCTGAGAATATTACCTTCTAACCAGTCCATTAGAATTAACTGAGCTAATTGCTTACCCCCATGAAAGTGTCTCAGAAATGGTAGGCATTACCATTCTTGTTATGACAGAAGAGCCAGTGTACTTGGTAGCTCAAGATCTGGACTTTAAAACAGGCCAACTGGGTACATGCCTCAGCTCCACCATCTTCTTGATGTGTTGCTCAGACAAGTTACTCTCCTGTACTGTGCCTCTGTGCCTCAGTGTTCTCCTCTGTTACACAGAGCCAGGAAGAGCACCCACCTCACTGGGTTGTGACTATGAATGACATGGTATATGAGCAAGGCTTCGATGTGTGCCCGGTGCTTGGTAAGCACTCAATCAATGTTCAATGAATACTGTTGTGCTTATTACTATCAACCCTTCATGTTACCTAAAATTCTATATTAAATTAGCTCATAAAAATTATTATAACACGTTCATCTCCTGCATGACCTCCTCATTGATTGCAAATTCAGAAGTCTGCTTTGTGCAGAGTTCCATGCAGCTGGTGCAATACATGAACCAAAGTCCTGCTTAGATAAGACCATGATCTGGAGGGTGGATCAGATGCAGCCAGACACAATGGATGCATGACTGTTAACAGCCAGTCCAGTTCTGAGTATATAGATAAACCAGAGACATGGAGGATGGTGGAAAACTGTTGAAGGGTGATACAAGGGACATAGAGTCAGGAATCAAGAGCCTCAGATTCTAGTCCTACTTTTCCAGCTCTTTAAGAAAATTACTTCACCACTCTGACCCTCAGTTTCTTCGTCTGTAAATGAACTTAATTCCCAAGTTTCCTCTCTTCCAATTTGACCATTCAGTGATTTCTAGGTATAATTTGCTGTTATACCCTTTGTTTTAGGTGTAGAAAGTTTTAGGGCCAGCAGGTAGCATGAAGGTTAAGGCAGTTGAGTCCCACGTGGCCAATTTTGTGGTTCAAGTCCTGGACCTGGTGACTTGGAAATTATGTCAGGCACACATGCATACATGCCCAAAATCCCAAGAGGAAAGTGGAAGAGAATGGACTGGCGTGCCCATCCTCCCTGGGGTATGGGGGAGCAATTTCTCACTTTCTCTCTCTATCTCTCTCTCTCTCTCTCTCTCTCTCTCTCGAGCACCTTGTAATAAAAATAAAATAAAAATAAATAAATTTAAAAATGTATATATAAAAACTTCTGTTTGAAAAGCACCTCTTTTAATGAGATTTTGGTGTATATAATAAACAGTAACTGCATTATCTACTGGCCTTAGTACACAGTGTGTCCTGTTTCATGTTTATGCCTGGAGGAATGTTCCCCTGCAGATGAATCCATTTGCCTTCCTTTTCAGGCATATGAAAACAATCCCACTCCTGGGGTTCATTGTTGCCTTAGCTACCAGGACACTGGTAGACAAGTGCAACCCCCAGTTACTATAATCAGCTCACATCATACACCAAAAAACAGCTCACTCTTACACTTCCTGCAGTTAAATGTTTAACTTTGCAACTGTATGTTTACACATCTTAAATTCACTCAAAGTTTTTTTTTAAATTTTATTGAAATTGGTAAAATTTAAGTCATTTTAATTTTCTGAACGTATGAGTATTTACTATCACAACAGTGTAAGTGGACTTTAGAAAATATGAATTAACCAAAAAAGCAAATAAAAATGCTAATAGCCCTACCACTCAAAGATAAACAGTTTATATTCTTCTAGATTATATACTTTTCATATAAAATAATTAACATAACTGAAATAGAATCATAAGGGTAGCCCTATGGCATAGTGATCAACGGAGCTGGATCCCACATGGTCAGCTATAATTCAAAGAAAATATACTAAGTTTGTGTGAGTTCACATGCCCAAAATCTTGACAGGAAGGAGGAAAGGAGGAGAAAAGATTATGGTGTGGTCCCTCTCCATTAAGGCATGCTTTCACTTTTTCTCACTGTCTGGTGAGTGCACACACTCTCTAGCAATAAAAAATAAAGAGAGAGAGAATCATTTTTTTTTTTTGAGAAGTTTTTGCTATAGGGCGCATGCACTCACCAGAAATAAAGAGAGAGACAGAGAGATAGAAGTGAGAAATCACCCCCCAGGGGGGGTGACCACACCACAATCCCTTCTCCTCCATTCTCCTCTCGGGATCTTGGGCACACATGCACATGCACCAGGTGTGAGTTTAAGCCACCGGGTCCGGGACTCGAACCGCAGTCAACTACATAGGAGTTCAGCGACATAGTCACTACGCCAACTGCTGGTCCTGAGAGAATCATATTCTAATAACTGTTTCCAACCTGCTTTTTAAAAACATGCATAAATTAGTTAATTATCTACATTATGAGTTGTAAAGGCTGAGTAATGTTCCACTGCTTAGAGTTCGATATTGTATTCAATTAACCTGCTGTTGTTGGACACTGAGATTTTTTTCTTCTTTGCTTCTATCAACAATTTCGCAATTAACTTGCTCAGTTTTTTCTTTCGTATTTGTTGTTGGTAATAAAATGGCTGAGTGAAATGTTCTAAATGGTCTAATTGGACTAACCTCACAGGAGACCTTGGTATATATATCTTTTTAAATTTTCTGTGGCGTATTACTGAATTTATTTACAGAAAATTTGCAGTAATTACATGAATGTCTACTTCCTTTCCCTTTCCCAAGAAGTATGTGTTATTTTCTTAATCAATGACATGCTTTTTTTGACTTTCACCCCCTGAAAGGGGAAAATGGTATTTTTTAAAGTGTATTCTTTTTATTCTATTTTTTTTTTTTAGGTTTGTCCCATAGGGCATTGGGGCTTGCCAGGAAAAGATAGTGAAAGGGAAAGTGAGAAATCACCCCCCCAGATGGGATGGCCACGCAGCAATCCCTTCTCCATTCTCTTTCCAGGATCTTGGTCATAAACACACACACGTACTCGACATGATTTTCAAGCCACCAGGTCCAGGACTCTAATTATGGTTGGCTATGTGGGAATTCAGCACCTTAACCTCCATCCCTTTACTGGCTCCAAGTTTATTCTTTTTTTATTTTAAGAGATAGAGAAATACTCTTTTTTCTTTCTTTCTTTCTTTTTCATTTTTGGAGAGGTTTTCACTATAGGGCGCGTGCGCTCGCCAGACAGACAGAGACATAGAGACAGAAAGCGAGAAATCACCCCCCAGGGGGGATGGTCACACCGCAATCCCTTCTCCTCCATTCTCCTCTCGGGATCTTGGGCACGCACGCACACGCGCCCGGCGTGAGATTTAAGCCACCGGGTCCGAGACGCGAACCGCAGTCGACTACGTGGGAGTCCAGCGACATAGCCCTTACGCTAACTGCTGGTTCCCAGAAATACTCTTGATAGGGTCTTATCATATCACAATCAACTCCACCTCCAGCCTTCCAGCCAATCAGTACACAGGCACACACACATACCCTCAACCTTGCTTTCAAATCTAGGTCTTCCATGAGGCTTCAACATTGTAGGACAGAGTGCTACTTCCTGTGCCACCACAGCTGGGCTGGTATCTTGTTTTAACAAGCATTTCTTTGATCACTAGGTCTGGATTTTTTTTTTTTCTGGAGAGATTTTTGTTATACGGCGCGTGCGCTCGCCAGACAGAGAGAGACATAGAGACAGAAAGCGAGAAATCACCCCCCAAGGGCGATGGTCACACCGCAATCCCTTCTCCTCCATTCTCCTCTCGGGATCTTGGGCACGCACGCACACGCGCCCGGCGTGAGATTTAAGCCACCGGGTCCGAGACGCGAACCGCAGTCGACTACGTGGGAGTCCAGCGACATAGCCATTACACTAACTGCTGGTTCCCGAGGTCTGGATATTTTTCATATGTTCACTGGTCAAGCATATTTCATTCAACCAATGTTTATTAATTACTCACTACTTGCCAAGCACTCTCCTAGTATTTCTGATTCTGTGAATTCCACATTAATATAGAAAGATTAACTTCTAAATGAGCCATTGCTTTTTAAAATCTCTTTATTTTCACCCTACATCACATCTCTGGAAAACAGATTTTATAAGTCAACTAATTTACATAAATCCCAATCCATGGTCCATGGAGATGATATGCCCAAGGACTCAGTATGATTCCCTTAAGTAGCTCTTCTCCTGCCTGTCTACTATGTAAGTACAAAAACATGAAGGAGATATCCTTATGAGAAGGCCAGCTAGCTGATCACAAGAGCCCTTCTGGTGTGAATCTATGCTGGCAAATTCACTCCATTCAAAAGTAGAACACTGACCTTCTATGACCAGACACTCCCTCTTGTTAGTGCCCCAGAGTTGATCCCAAGCAGGCTGACTCCCAGTGACTAAACTCACAGAAGACCTTAGTTTATCAACCAGAGAGCCAACTTACTGGTTTGTGATGAGAAATAAAACCATCAGACAGACCAGATCATTGTTGGCTTCTCCAGTACAATTTATCCCTCAGGCAAGCTACAGAAGTAGCCAGACATCTCAAAGGGGTGCTTCCTGAGCAGGAGAGCAGAAAAAGGGGAGTAGGCTACAGGATCTGCAAGTGTGCTAGCATCCTGCTCCCATGGCCTGATGTATCTGTTTGTAGCATCTCCCCTGGACAGTGCTGGCTGAGCACAGTCATCTTGGGTCTATGCTTTGTGTGACACCTGTGGTCACAGCATCAGGCATAGCACCAGCTAGCCTCACTGTCCTCACAGACACTCTGTCTTTCTGAAGTGATTTTGGCCCAGATTCAAAGTTCCACATTATGTTTTGGTTTTGCCTGTGTTCTATACATGCATATTGAGAACTTACCACTTTTCTACTGTTGTGATGGCATCAGACATAAGACTTGGGCTTCTGGGGGTGCCTGAAATAACAGTCATGAGTCATGATGTACTAGTCTTAATGATCGTGTAAGGGCAACTCTGTGGCCAGTTCAAATTATAGCCTCCTTTTTGGAATGTCCTTTAGTCTACTTTGAAATGAGAAGAGGGTAACTGCAGAAGACATCTCTGATGCCTGGCATCCCATCCTCTTGGCCCATCTCTGTCTTCAGCCTTGACTGTAGTAAACAGTTCCATGTGACCTTAGACTCTGTCACATGGGCAGCATCCTGTCTTAAGCACTTCACTGCACTTTGTACTTAAAGGGTGATGCCCAGAAATGAGGGGTTAATGCATCCAGGGGCCTTCTCAGCCCAGGTGAGATGGGCCAACACATATGTGCTCCAGCCCCCCTCCCTTCTGGGGGATGATGCCAGAGGTCCTGCACCTTTCCCAGGAAGTCCCTGCACATAGCACAAGTCCCACTGCACATAGTAGCCGCGGCAACTATGTACCCTTATTTCGGCTTGTTTTGTCCTTTACCTCCATGTCAGAGGTCATCCTCCAAATAAACGTCATGCACCCTCTTCCTAGGAGCCATGGATGCCAGGAGAGGTGCAGAGGCACACACAGAGGCACACGGAGCTGCACAGGTCGCAAAGAGAGGCCTGAAAACCTCTCTCAGAGACCATAATAAGCGAAGACGCCACTGCCTGGCATCGTGAAATCTCTCTAGGGGGCCCAGAATTCCCCTAAATGGGGAAGGAGGGTGATAGTACCAGGAGAACCCTTAGAAGGTGCACCAAAGAATCATTAAGTCTTCATGTATTTCTCGAGTCCTGAGAATAGAAGAATATTCTGCTTTGGGTGGGGTTTCTTAGAAGCTGAGCCTATGAGGTTCTTGGGCAAGCATGTCATTGCGAGTTTTCTCAGGAGAAGGAGTGTAAAGCGAAAAGGATGGAGCCGGAGAAAAAAGCTACACAAGGTGTGGTCTTGGCTGGTGACTAGCTTCTGCAGGTTTTCATGGGAAGCCCTGGAACACAGAGTGCATCACAGAGATGATACCTTGAGCCAAAAAGATGTACCATTTGTCACCCCTGGTGGTCAGACATTGGCCAAAGGCTGCCTTCTTTTCCCTCAATACTGCCCTAGCAAGGTGGTTTGGATTCCACCCAGGAAAATCTTCCTGTGTATTGAGAGTCAGTCCACACAGGGGACCAGGGTGGGACACAGCAGCATCCACTACATTTTCATCATCAGTTCAAGCTGAATGTCCACTACATATGTACAACGTGAGATGCTGATGAGGACCAAGGAAGCCCATGAATTTCCTTCAAAGGCATCAAAGTGCAGAGATTTCTGCTCTGACAATGTGCTGTGAAACTCCCTTTGCCCAAAGCTCTTTGTTTTATCTACAGAAGCCTCCCTCTCTCTTTCTCATCTTCATCCAAGAGAAAGTTCCAGCTGAGAGAGCTCAGTAGAGTGCCAGGGATTCTCTCCAAATACAGATTTGGGCAGGTTTTTAAATGGTATGACATCATCCCAGTCATTAGCATGAAAATAGCTCATAAATCTCCATCGCTCCCTGTGGGGTTGCGCACTGATAATTAGGAATCTTTCTATAAACTGAACGCCAGAGCATTTCCTCCAGCAGTGCATGCCTCTGAGGTGGAACCTCTGTCTCGACTGCAAGGGTCTCAGACAGAAAGCTCGGGAGGTGTCTACCTACCACCGTGTTGGCAACAGACACCAAAACAGCTCCTTGCAACAGTATGTCAGGGTCGCATTCCACAGCTGTCAGGCATTCAGTCAAAAACAGTAGATTTCAACTCTAGTTCTCTGCTTCTCAGCCAAGATACCCTGGACAACACACTTAACCTCCTTCAACCTCAGGAACTCATTCACTGGGACAGAATAAAGACAGGCTTCCAAGTGACCAACACCACCTGGGTTCCAGCAACACCTCTAACGAGTGGGTGAATCAGCCATGTGCTGGTGAACTGACTAGAGGAAGGAGAGTACTTGGAGCTGGGGATAGACGGTAGAAGAGAGGTCACCGAGGGCTGGGGAGAGAAGGAAATGGGGACGGGGCAGTTGTTTAATGGGTACAGAGTTTCAGTTTGGGATCATGAAAAAATTCTGGACATAGATGGTGCTGAACTCACTGGTGCAAATATTCCCACCACAGTGAATTCCCAACTACCCATGGTTTAACAAACAACTCGCAGATTTCCTGAATATTTGGAAATCTGCTCAAAATGAGCTGGTGGAGTGCTGCAGCTGCAGCACTACCACCAAAGCTGTCAAAATGAGGGGGTCACTGGTAGCATCTCAGATAGAGAAATATTTTAGGAAAGAAACCAACTAGGCCTGTTACCAGCTAAGGATAGTCTACAATAATAATGTCTAAAGGAATCTTGATCCCATCCACACTCCAAACCTTCAGACATGTTGATAAAAATCTCCAATGCTTCACCGCTTGCTACAGCCTAGGCCAAGCCACTTCAGCACCTTCTGGCACAAGCATTATGCTCAAAGGTCATTCTAAGACTTCACATCTTTGAGACTGGGAAACCTGGTACCACTGGTAAGAGTCTGGAAGGCAGAAAGAGAAACTGGTTTGGGGCATAAAGTAGGAAATTCTGAGTTTAACCAGCTTATAAGGCATTGCAGATGGCGTAAGTATACAGGGAACTGTCAGAACGGGCTGCCTATTTTCTGGTGATAAACCAGGAACAGCCGCTCCTGTCTATCTGCTTTCTGCCCATGCAGTCTTGCCAAAGACCTGGTCACGTGCTCAGGTAAAACAAAGCATGGGTCACTTTCCCAAAGAAGTCACTATCTGCTTTTTGCCCGTACAATCTTGCCAAAGACCTGGTTACCTTCTACAGGTAAAACAAAGCACGGGTCACCTTCCCAAAGAAGCCACTCACACCAAAGTGGCACTAGTGGCCAGTGTGTTACAGATTCCACAGTCCTCTGGTTTGAATGCCCCCCCCCCAGTTCATGTGTTGGGATTTGGTTGTGATGGTGTGAAAACTTAATCTGACTATGGTGTTGAAAGGAGACCCTATAGCAGGAGACTAGGATTAAAGTCATGAGAGCATGGTCCCAATAATTGCCTCCTGGTGGGTGTAGACAGGGCTTAAAAATCCTCCTAGGATGTATCTGTTTGTCAAAGTTTCCCTGACTCGTACCACCATGGCCAGCTCTTCTTTGCAGCCTTCTCCTGTAGCAAGTGGAGAATTTCAGCTCTACCCTTGGTCTTGCCTTCCCTGCACAACTCACTGCTCACCCACCCCGCCCCAGTATAACTGGGCTCTCCCTCTATCCACTGTCACTTACATGTACCCTGTAGGGTCTTCTCCTTGCCAGAAGGTTTATCAAAGAATTTCTTTTTTTTTTTTTTTTTTTTTTTGAGATTTTTTCTATAGGGGGGGGGGGT